CCCGCCCCCCCCCCCCCCCCTCTCTCTCTTGGACACACGAACGTGCGCTACAAGAAGCTTGCTCCGCGGCATCGTCCATCATCGTCCCTGCGTAAAATCTAGGCGTAAAAAAAGGAGTCCAAAGAGAGATAGATCACACACGCCAGGAGGTGCCGTGGTATGAGCTCTCTCCCGGTGGCGGCGGCGAGCTGCCCGAAGTCTCAGCACTCGTCGCACCGTGTTGATGCTGCTGTCGATCTTGTTGCTGCTGCTGTCGCCGTTCTGGTTCTGGATGCCGCCGTCGTAGTCGGCAATTTTAGAAAAGCACACAACAAAAACGCAAACGAAAACAGGGAGGAATCAAAGAAAGCACGCCCGACAAGAAACTGAGGGTCAACATAGGGAAAGACGATCATATCAAATAAAACACCGGCAAACGCTCGAGCACATGTACCCTACCCGCATCACCCAAGCTCGGCCCAGAAAACCGCGCGCCGCCACCACATTTGTTGCTGTCTGCTGGGGTGCGCCGTTGCTACATACAATGCGGAGGAAGGGTAAAAATGGGTAAAACTCGTGTGACTCTATAGACAGAAGTATAATATAATACCTGATGGTCTTCCCGAGTTGCTGGTCGTAGCTCGTGACGGTCCGGTACCATGGCCTCTAGCACTAGCACTAGCAGCATCAGAGGTGTTCACTCGTCTACGCTTGTCGCGCTTTCCTTGCTTCTGCTCAACAATCGGTTTGGGGATCGGCAAGGGAGAAGGACGTATTCTTAATGGCGTGTTTCTTCTCCCAGTCTAAGATGGGGGGCGGTGGCGGTTTGACCGCGTGACTCTCAAGCGGGGCGGCGGCGGCGACGGCGACCGCGGGAGGGGGTGCTGCCATATATCAAATCAACCCAAAAAGCGGCTTGCGACCTCACCACACTTCACACGATCGGGTCTCGACACACCCAATGCCAACCACCATTCGCTCTCGACAACACCCCACCCAAAAGCATTGCACGTACCGGTTGCTCTTCCCCCTCTTGCCTCATCCTCCCCTCGCCTTGCGGCTGCCGCTTCTCGTCGCCCCCCTCTTCATCGCCCCCTCTCCACTCTCCACCTCCTTCCTTTCGGCGCGCGGCTGCTGCCAACGCCGCTCCCTCTCCAGCTACAGCAGCAGTGGCACCGTCTCTAGCCCCAGCGGCCGCCGTCTTCGCTCGTTGTCCTCCTCCGCTCTTGGTACTCGCAGCGGCGGTGGGGGCGGCGGCGGCGGCGGCGGTGGCTTCCTTGTCCCTGTCTTCCACCACCCACTCCGACTCCCGCGCATACATGTCGGCCATGTGCTTGGAGAATATAGACTGCATCGTGTTCGCATCCTGCCGGCACGAGGAGGAAGGGGGTGAAGGGTCAACAAAAACCAAGGACGGGGGGGGGGGGAGCGCTGGGGTCTTTCGATCCCACCAGGACCGCAAGATGGTGTGGACTACGAATAGCAAACAACACTTGGCAAAGAAAAGTGACGGCCTCTGAAAACAGCAGTTGTCGCACTCTCCGCAGAGCGGAGGCCGGGCTCTCTGTCCCTTTACAAACGCCCCTGATTCACAATTGGGAACCCAACACCACAGCAACGACCACGCGAAGCAAGAAACACAAACGACAATGATGATAGTGATGACGACGACGATGACGTGCTCACCTGGTACACCAGAGACCCCTCCACGTTGTACTCGCGCGCGTTGTCGAAGAGAAGCATCACGTCCGACGCGAAGGCGGCTAGGGTGTGGTACTCCCCCTTCCGGACCCTCGAAGATATCATCTGCTCTCACCCATCCGTGTTCACCACGCAGCCCACAGCCCACAGCCGTCGTGACAGCACCGCAGCACATCGCGCAGAAGAGGGAAGAGCGCATGTCCGCGTCAAGCGAAAACGGTCCATGAGGAATACACCATCAGAAAGACAAGACTCTTGACGAGGGACCTACGAACGAAAACCGCGGCGACCATCCTCGCCAGCCCACAAACCCGAAGGAAGCAACAAAATTCTACCTGCGTTCGAATCTGTGGAACAGCCCTTGGAGGTTAGGGACAGGAGGAGGGTTGCAGCTGGAGCTATGCTCGAACAACTGCCCTTGAACGCTAGGTCAGGGGTAGGATATATTGCTTCCCCAAACCTGAAAAAAAAAATACCCAGTACAAAAACAAACAACACCCCAAACCCAATATTGCACACGGGCCGCAGATAAGAATTTGGTTGGAGCCGGAGCTAGGATCACCGATAGTTTAAAAAAATCAGCTCTTGGAGAGGCTTTAGCCAGGGGCATCAATCAACAAGACAACGGCGGAGGAACAACACACACCTGTAGGTCGATGGGGTTCTCGATGACCTCGTAGTAGGCCTTGAACTCTCTCCGGGGGGGAACCTTCTTGTAGAGCTCGCAGCAGAGACGACCGTCCTCTGGGTCCTCGGCCTTCTTGATCTCCTTCAGAACCTGGCGTGTGTACGGTGCGGTGCGGTGTAGTTCGGATGAGACAGCAGAACACGAAAAAGACTTGCAACATGGGCCCTGCCCCCCAAACCAAAACTAAAAGTGACCATTTCTGAACAACATAATGAAATAAAACTCCTGTGGGACTTGGGGCCTCATTAACCAACACGCCTCCTTCCACAAAACACTCCCAATTATTTTTGGTGGGAAGATGATGCGCTCCGAGACAAAAAAAAACTGCTGCATGTAAGACAGTGTTTTTTTGGAAGCTGTATGCTCGAAATATAGACCATCTGTCTCATTTCTGAGTGTATTCAGCATTCCTTCTTTACTTGCTGCCTTGTCAATGGAGACGACACAAACAACACGAGCAACGTTCTTACTTATCCTTAAGCGTTCGAAGCGGGCGGTGCTAACAAGCATCCACGGCGCGTATCATGCACCCAGCGAACATGATCACCCATGGCCTCATCAGTGCCCCTGCTACGACCTCATTACCCCCCCAAACCATGCACAACATCCAATCCCTGCCGCTTCCCGCCCCCCCCCCCTTCTTCCCACGTAACCCCCCCACCCTCCCACCTGATTAAACCCCAATATCATCTCATCCTTT